CTAGGGTTAACATGCTGAGCATTTGGGTGCTCCATTGTGATTGTGAGCAATGAAAAGTTTTTCCCACACGCCAAATTCCTTGCAATGAAATTTTTTGTTGCTGATTACCCTCTATTTCTTATTGAAACTCAATTGTAACATCCGAAGGATCGACACCAATTAGCAACTCATTCCTTGGAGTGCTTAAGGTACATGTACTTCCCAAAAAAATCGTCCGCTGGAACTACGTCGCATTTTAATCTTCAAGATCCAAGTAAACTGTGGTGGGAAAAGTAGGCCTACTGTACATGTTCTTTGTCACATATTACAAAACTTTGTTCAGAAGTGAAAGAAAAAACCTAAACAATGCAGCCCTTTACCTGATATTAATTCTTCCTTTACCATGAAATACTCCAAATGCAAGTAACTAGCATTTGAAAATTCCCATGATACCAGCTTTTGGAAAATTCCCCAAATCCCACAAACCTTGACATGAAATCGGCGATCCGAAGTTGTTTAAAGTCAAACATTTCCAGGGTTTGCCAACTAAACTTAAACCATTCATAAGAAGGGAGAAGCTGGAGAGATCGGCAATGGCATCGGCCAAGGTGGAGATCGGTGTTCAAATTCGTGCATGTTTGTAATAGTCCTAAGGTGGAAATCGGTGTTCAAATTCGTGCATGTTTGTAATAGTTCTGCATGCATCGACTGCTCTCCATTGGTGCACATAAATGTACGGACCTGTGGCTGTGGGCCGACTGCAAGCATTTCTTTGCGGATACTTCATGTTTGAGTCTGTGAGATATGCACCATGATTACCATCATTCACTCTGCCAAACAATCTTTGACTACTTTTCATCTTTCATTTCTACCATTAAGAAAAGAAATTCTACTCAACCTGTTGAGTGAATTGAAGGTCAAAATAATGTGCTATTCTCAAAATTTTCCGTCTCCACCTTGGAACAGGACTAATGGCCTCATGTTGAAGCTGGTAGCGGGGATACACACAGGAAAAATGTAGCTTCAGGCATGTTCACCAACGATTGCACAAACAGGCCGCTGATGCAAGCGGTGCTCTGCGGCGCGAGAGCAGTCCAGTTTTGATGGAATTTACAATCGAAAGATCAAGAAAACTATTATACATGTAGTTCATCGTCAGTGGAATAAGGTCATATTTTTGGAGGACTTTAAGGAAAAAAATATTTCTTCAGTATGTTTTTGGTGGCATGAAAATAAAGGTGCTTTCTTGTCAAATACGCTTTTTAGAACTCATGGTCACTTCTACATAAACTGGAAACTTGAAAGCCGGCGAGCTACGTAGATTGATAATCTTTTCCCATAAATGATGTAATTCTATCAAGTTAAAATTTCTGATTTAAAAATCTGTAATGATAATCATAAAAGGGGATAATTTTTAATGACAAGTGTTTAGGAAACAACTTACAAGTGCATTTTGCATGTAATCTTAGGTATACTCGACATGGCATTGGCACATGTAAAAATTGGATTCGATTCTGAGTGGAATCGCGACTCCTGGACGGAATCGGAATCGATTCCAAAGATGGTGGACTCGCCCAACACTAATGTTCCGGCAATATTTAAGACCTACCATATAAAAAAAAAAAATTCTAAAGATCTTTGCCCAACCAAAAATTGGATAGAAATTTCTCCCCAAAGTGCCAAGTCGTGGTGAACCAGCTTACTTTTAAAAGCTTTTTTCAGATCTGGTTTCTTTCTTCCATGGAGTTTCTCTGGTTTTGTTTTGTGTTTAAATTAAAGTAGCTAAAGTCAGTGCTCTAAAACCTCCACTTCCTTTGTGCATAGCTAAAAGCTGTTCCTTCAAGTTTTTCCTACTTGTCCACTGAATGACTGCAATCCCATGGTATGACCACCAGAGAGGGTAAAACAGGCATATCTGCCTTTGCACTCTACCAAGGAACATTTCAAGGTGATAGAGAGCGTTTGCCTGATATCTCCTCCAACAACCATTATTTTGCTCTGTACAAAGTTATTTGACAGTACAGTGTGTAGAAACTGGTAGATTGCTGTGTCCTGACTTCAGGGTATCATGCTGCAAGCAATGTTCGCCATGCTCTGCAACAATCAAAGTGGTCTTCTATGATTGACCTTGATTGGGCAGACTTTGTTACCAACTTGGGCTAGTTTTGTGTTTATTTGCTGTATTTTCACACAATGGTGGGGCTTAAAGTTCATGTTACTTTTTGATTGAAAATGCATCAAAATTTTGTGTGAAAGCTTAAAATGTCATTGTGAAGAGGTTGAAAATCTTTCACACTCTTTTTATTGGAGGGACGGGAAGGTGGACAGGTTTTTTTAATATGCAAATGGTTTTAATAGCCCCATGAGAGTCGTTAAAACATGGGTTTCACGAACGAAAAGTTTGCCGACTACCATTTTTTGCATTTTTTTTAATGGAAGGTCTACTCTTTTAATGCAGTATATCCACAGTACTTATTATACCGCATCTTCCGATTCTGGGCATTATCATGTTCGTGACTTGTGAAGGTGTTTCCGTTGGTGAATTCTTTCAAGGTCTGAAGGTCTAGGCATTATGTGTGTTTCAGTGTTTGGCATCGTTTGCAAAGAGGGGCCCGGTGTTTCACAAACAGTCCTCCGCTTTCTCCTTCATGGCGGCGGCCAAGTCTTCGCGAATCGGCCTTTACCTTCACAAAAGAAAGGACTCCCAAGACAAGTGTTATTTTTGAAATTGCACCTTATTCGCCAAGAATTCTTCGTAGTAAATCGATCACGAAAAAGTCCTATATTTTTGAGTCGTACAGTATCTTATGGTTACAAAAATTTTGTTAGCCTCATTGATTCTGCATACATGTATATCAGTACAGTACATTGTGTATAGCTCTGTTGAAGTGAGCCTCATTAATTCTGC